CCCAAATGCGACCAAAAGCCATTGTTGTTGTAATTTGATTCCTGTTTCTTTATGGATGTTTTGCCCTCTTAGAGAAATTAACTATGTAGTTGCAAATTAAAATGTTCTGAGAACTACTGAACCCCAATGAAATTGTGTTACTCATGCAATTTACACAGTGCTGACCAGGCAGTAGCATGATCATCAAGCTAATTCTGCAATTTTTAAGGGGCATCAAAAAAAAAAAAACTTGCCAGATTGGATGCAGAATAAGCTACTGAATACAAAAGAAATATATATAACATATCATTTCTGGGAGCAGAATCTGCTTATTTATTTTGCCCCATGGAAGGATACAGGCCTTCTGGCAAAAAACAGATTTTTTAAAAAAGTATTATTTTCTGCCACCTAGTTTAAAGCAGGAAAAAGAATCACAGTGAATCCTCGTTCGACTTAATGCATGCTTATGAGCATAGCAGGATGGAAGGAGCTTGGTTATATAACAAGCTGGCAAAGTTCATGCATGAAAGGCGAAGCACGCATAAAATACTTTAATGTTATAAAGGAAAAAGGGCAATTTGCAATGGAATATTTGCTGCTGGGAAGGCACCGACCACTGATGTTCTCCTCTTACCAGTCAGCTGTAACAAAACAATTGCAGGGGTGCAAGAAGAAGGTAAAATAAATATAGCAAAACACTACCCTAAGAACAGAATTTAAAGACAAGGATTCATTTAAGCCAAGCTCAATTCCATGTAGTTCCATGGCAGAAATAGAGAAATGGTTTATCATTGTTTTGTGTGTGTGTGTTTTAATTTCCCAGTCTAGGATGTCCTAGTGGTCTCCTATCCAACTATTAGTCTGGACTGGCCCTGCTTAGCTTCTTTGGGATCAACTGAATAGGGCTAGTTTTGTCTGCTGCCACTTGATCCAGCTTGTTGCATCATATATTCCATATAAACTTCACTGCAAATCACTTGGGCTCTCAGTCGACAACACAGCATACAAACATATTGTACATTAATATCCCCAGTGAAATTAAGGAAGTGTGATTCCCCATAATTTTTAAAATGAATTTGTGGATAAACATATAACATTGCTTGGGATGATGTAAAAGGGAATATCATCCCAAGCAATTCTTATATGTTTATCCATAAATTCATTTTAAAAATTATGGGGAATCACACTTCCTTGTCCTATTCCCTACTCAGTGTTGAACCATTCCTTAAGCATCCCATTTATTCTCATGCATGCTTTACTTCCATCATATGTATCACATTCACCAACACAAGCCTCTGACAATACAACCAACTTTCAGTTTGAGAAGTGTGCAGTATTGATATCAGAAGTGGACAACGGTGCTTCAGATTCAGTATGAGCTCTTGGTAGCTCCTTAAAGCATCCTGCATCTTTTCCTGCACTTTCATAGTTGCTGAGCAGGCCCAGGAAAATACTTGTGTTCAGGAAATGTTACAGAGATGGCGACAGGGTGCGACCACAAGCTTTTATTACATGTTTATCCATTAATAAATTAAACAAACACACATCTTCGTGTTACTCCCAGCTCAACACTGAACCACCTTCTAAGCACTCTATTTATTCTCATGCATGGTTTACTTCCATTATATGCTTTTCTTACTGCACTCAGCAACCAACTTTCAACTCAATACTTCTGGAAAACATTCCATAATTCATGCCTATTCACTTTATTATACACTTTAGCTAAATCAGCAAGCACACAATGAATTCTATTTCGCGCATTCATACATTTCTCAATACTGCTAAACAGTAAAAATTGGGTCTTCACACCCCTTGCCCAGTCTTATTGCACTTTCTGAATTTTGCTTCTTCTCACCTCTTGTTCCCTTTCAGTCAGAATTCTGCCAAACTTCT